TTAGTTTAAAATAGCATAGCTATAAATAGATTCCACGTTTATTATAAATGTAAATTCTATAGTATAAAATAAAGTTGTGACATGATCGTCAAAAAAAAAAAAAAATTACAAATTTTTTTTCTAGTTGCTTATATATGAGTATTGCCAAAGAAACCCAATAATTTAAATATAAATTATGTTTAAATTGTTAGATTTTCTTTTGCTAACACTTATATATATTGCTAATTTTAAAATATTTTGAGCAATTTTGAACAATTTTGAGGAATAGCTAAAGCTATATATCTAAATAGTTTTTTAATATTTTAATTAAAATCAAAATTAGAGTTAGAGTAAAGTTAGAGAAAAAGTATATTTATAAGTAAAATTATCTTTCTATATTTTTTATTATTATTTTAAAACAGGTTTAAACTATTATTTTTTATATTTTTTATTTTTTATTTTTTATGTTTAAGTGATCCTGCCTTTATTTATGTGAGCTGTTATATAATTCATATACACAAATGTATTAAATTCTTACAACTTGTAGCTCTAATTCAATAAAAACTCACCAGGTTAAACCCAATACAACCTGCTATAACAACTATTAGTCTTACTCAGAATCCAAAACTTACTTCGGATTTTAATCGTTAAAATGATACCCCCTTAATCATTGACAGACTGCTATATACCATATCAGGATCTCTTTTTTCCCTTCTAATTCTTTCTTCTTCTCAAGAGGCATGAGACAAAGAGAGAAATTTTTTTTAAAAAAAATATGAAAATAACCAAAAAAAAAAAAAACAAAAAAGAAAAAAGAAACACTAATTGCGAAAAAGAAAAAACATGAAAAGAAATCTAAAACTCTGAAGGCACTATTATAACCCATGCATGGCTGATAAAAATTATATAACAAATGCAACATTTGTATATCTCTACTGTAAAGGTTTGTCTTAATATTAAATTTATTTTTCAACCTTCCCAACAACTCCAGATAGCTCTGTTACTTGAGGGTTCCCAAGCTGAGTCTCATGAAGTAGCACTATATTCATCTGTAAACAAACACATGGTTGCATTTCGCTAATCTGTCCGAATTTGGAAAATAAACAATGCTGATCTTTTGAAGGAGGTAAGCCAAATCCCCACTTTTTGTAAAAAATTTTGAAAGGCCAGCAGGTAAGCAGAAGTGAAAAAGATAGGAGTCACTTGGCCAAGTAAAAGAATGTGACTTAAGAATAGCAAGTTCTTCATTGTTTCCTAGTTATTTCGCAACAGTATGCTTTGTCGATAGAGAAAAACTATAATCCTCACCAAAAATTTCATATACAAGAGTACACTTCCCCAGCCAGTTATCTTGTATAAAGACGCTTTTGGCTTGCATAGTATAGGTAAAGATTTCTGTGATTGGCCAATATTTTAGACTACAATTTATATAAATATAATAGACGTTTGCTAAAATTTTGCATAAAAATCATAGTACAATTAATCTCTTTGCATAAATATTTTTGCTTATTTATTTTATATGTATTTGCCAAAGTTAATCTAATAAAAGATTGTTAATCTGTTTCAATATCATAACATTTGCTTGGTTATGTTATTTACTTGGTTTTACAATATTTATTTGGTCTTCTTATTATTTTTTAAAATTTTTTTGGCTACTATATTTTGTTTTTTGGTCTTTATATTGTTTACATAATATTTGGCCTTTGTTAGCTCATATTCGGATTATTTAGCAAATAGAGAGAGCACAAAATCCTGGGTCATGTTGTGTTTGCCCTCCCAATTTATTGATGAATCAAGAAACAATTCATTATTGGAAAGTTACTTCCCTTGCTATGAAAAAGCTTGTGGAGAATGGATTTAAACTTGCTGAGTCTGATAAAACACGATATCTTTGTCATTTATGTTATAGTAATATAGTAGTAAACCCAGTAAATAAAAAAAAAATAGAAAGAGGAAAAACATATGAAAATCAGCACCACCAAACAAACTAAGCGAACTGTTTATCAATCTCATAGTATTGGCAATCATAATGCAAGTTCTACAACTATAACATTAGACAATCACATGCTTGTTCCTAAGGGTGAATATAAGAAATTAGTGTCTCAAAAAGAGATTAACCGGCTTAGGCAGGACTTAAATCAGGCACAAGAAGAGATACAAACTTTGCGATCAAAATTAGTAATACGAAACCAAGGTATATTTATTTTATTTATTTTATTTACAATTATTAAATTATATAATATACTATAATTATTTATATAAAGTTTTTAATTTCTAGATCCTAAAAAATTTAAAAGCATATTATATTATTATGGAAAAGCGCTTACTGATGCATTGTATGACTATCAACACCAGCAACACAAAGATGTTTTATATGATCCCAAAGAATTTGTAGTGACATTAAACAATTATAATTCAAATCTGAAATCATTCTTTGATGCAATAGTTGAAATGACTAATCTGAAAAGAAAAAGTAATAAAATCAATGAAGTTAACTGATATAAAGTTGTTGGTATTTGCTATGAACTTGCTGGAATGTATAACAAATTTGTTAATTTAATGAAGGTAAATATTACTGTAAAAATAGTTTGTTAGTATTTTTAATTTATAATAATTATTATATATATATTTTTAGATCGATGCTGATATTAGTTTAATGACAATAGGAACATTGAAACAAGGAATTGACGCATTAGCTACTTTAGGTGTTACTGCATCATATAAAGTAATTGCAACAAATTATTAGAAACACGAGATTCAGATCTCGAAATATATTTTAAAGATCAGGTATTCTATTATATAATATATATTTTTGATTATATTATAATAAATATATTTTTAATAAAGTTTTTTAATTTAAAGTTGAGATATGCGCATTTTTTAAATGTTGATGACTACTATGATATGGGGGAAGTCAATAGAAATAGGACAAATCTATTTAATAAATTTGTTCTATTTCTATTGACTCCCCCCATATATATAAAAAGCGAATGCCTAATGTAACTTCACTTCATACGATAAATCATATGGCTACTATTTGTGTTAATTTGTCAAAACATTATATGCCAATTCCATATTATTCATTATCAGGATATAATATTCACAATCCTGAATTTATTGATGCTAATATTATAATTTCAAAGCTTCGTATAGAATATATGCAATTTTTTAGTACAAGTTATACTGATCGAAAAAAAGAGTAGAATAGTAATCAAGAAATTGCAAACTTACCTGATAATATGTTAATTGATAGTTTAACAGTTCATATATATGATTCAGATATAGTAGAGTGCAAAGAAGAAAGAGTAATGAAAGATGTTAAACTTGTCGATTTAATTCCTTTAGAACTTCATTCAATAGATGCTTATTTAAAGACAATTAATACTTATACTCAATTACAATCTATTAAACAATATCTTGATTTATTTATTGTATCAGTTCCTGCAGACTTTCCTGAACAACTTTATATTTGTCATGCTATTGTTCACAAATTAATGCTTGGTAATCAAACATCAATACCTGATGAAATTTTACAATTTATTTCTATACTAGAACCACTACATGTATCTTTGAACTCACATCAAACAACAGTATCAGTTTATCACAAATTTTTTAGTAAACTTTTTAAATCAATTTGGAAAAAAAAAGAACTTGCAGTAAAACCTAAAGTATGGCGATCAGATTTATTACTTTATCTTGCTTATACAGGGTGGTTATGAATTAAGTCAACAATTATAACTCGTATAAATAATGTTAAAGATTTGGAATATAGAACATTTATAAATTTACTTGACAATATTATTCCTGCAACTTTTGACATATATGCAGTATTATTTCGGGCTGGAAAATAGACTGAATATCTTGAGACAATATTTCGTTTGTGGACAATTTTTTGTCGGTTTAAAAAAAAAAATTATGATAAGCCTCCTCTAACATTTCTTTCTGATGTATTTTTTTGGGATTCAATTAATCATCCAATTCTTACTACTTTGAAAATGCATCTTTCACTTTTTACTGATTACTATGTTGAAAATTTTCATAGCATTTTTTGACGACAAACATCTGGACAATGATTAGATGCAAACTCTCTTTATAACAAAGCTTTATTTATTGATCATAATAGACATAAAAATATGTTTTGAGATGCTTTTGTAAATCTACAAATTATCCATATACTCAGTATCAATTAAAACAATTAGAAGAAATATCTGTTGAGTTTTTATTATCTTTGTTTATTGATATTCGAAATAAAGATGGCCAAAATAAAATAACTACTTCAAAAAAATGTTCTAAATGTTTTTTAGCAGCATTTAATACAGATGTTGATATCAAATGGTTACCAACCGGGTATCATGTTTTAAAAAAACCTTCAAAAGACAAATTTTGTAATACAACAAAATGTAAATTAAGCTTGTTAGAACCAGACAAAGTATTGATATGCGGACATGCTTATCATATACAATGCCTTTATTTATTAAATAATATATATCTATATTGCTTTAAATTTTATGGAAAAAAAATTCACAAACTAACAAAATCTTATTTAGATCGATTGAAGTTTGGAATTAATAAGAATGAAATAATTGAGCCTAATAATAATGAAATCGAAGTCGAAGATGATAATGAAGTCGAAGATAATAATGGAGTTGAAGATAATAATAAAATCGAAGATAATATCAGTCAAATTGAAATAGATAGTAATATAAGCAATTGCCTTGATGCAGCTTTACGCTTGTTTTAAATATTTATTTATTCCTAATGTTAAATTCGACACAAATATCTTTTTATATAAAATAATAAAAAATAAATATGTTTTGCTTTTTTTGCTTACAATTAGAACTAAAATTACAATAGTACAAATATAAATATATATAATTATAATCACTAATTTTGGTGATCATTTTTAAAATTTATTAGCCAATTATAATGAACTTTACCTATGCTGGCTTGCATATTGAATATATTAAAGGAGTCCCCGTAAAGCACAAAAGGTTGACCTTTATAAAAACTGCTTCTGTTGTCTACCTATTATAGATAATCTCTATTTTCTAGTATCCAAACTTGACTTTTCTTTTATGGAAAATTTTGGTCAAAGTGATTGTTGGAAAAAGTTGTTAATTTTTTATATTTTTTGTATTTTCTTTATTTTTTAACTTTTATATAAATAAAATTTTATAATTCTGGTTAGTTGATTTATACAAAAAAGTTATATAAATATATGGTTTTAGACAACTTTTAATTTTAAATAGTTTTAAACAATTTTAAACAGTTTTGAATATATTCAAAACTGTCTAATCAAAAAATTTAATTGAACATGTCCAATTCTCATTATTAATATAAGCTATACAAGAGTATCAGATAATTGTAAAAGCTTTCAAGTATATAAGTGAAGCTGCAATATATATACTAATAAGTTTAAATAGTTGCATATATATAAAACATAACTAATTTAATCAGATTTGTTTTAGAAATAAACTAGTTCTAAGACCTAATACAAGTTTGGATATTGAAAATTTCACATTGTAAAAGTAGATTATAATCAGAGTTTAAATAAGTAACTTTGTAGTTTGAGTTGCAGATATAGCAGATAGTGTAAAACTCTAAGTAAAATAGCTTAGATATGAACTACTTAAATTAGACACCAAAAGCAGTGTTGTTTATAAAACAATTTTAAACAATTTTGAACATTTTTTAAAATTAAAATTGCTCAAAATTTTATTAAGATAATCTATTTTAATTTTTTCATAAATAAGTTCAGCACCTAAAAAAATATATAATTATATATTTTTTTAAATTATTTTATTAATTATTTAAACTTGGGACATAGGCTTGAATGATTTTAAACAATCTTGAACATTGGATATTAAACATAGTATAGACATGTCTTATTGGGGTGTTCGATGCACTATGTAAATCAAATTTATATATAGTCTTATAGTAAAAATAACTAGTGAAATTTTTTTGTATAACTAAGACAATGATTCATATTAAATAACTTAAATTTTGACAAATTTTTATCAAATTTATTGCAAATTTTTATTTTTTTAAAAAAAGCACTCTATTTGTCTAAAATATAAGTTCTGCTAAGCAATTAAATAAAATTTTTAAAAAAGTTAATATATAAATTATAGAGGCCAATTTTCGTACCCCTACATTTAATATTTGTACCCCTCATAACGAAACTTTCTGATTATTACGTGATCACATAAAATTCTTATTTGTGATTAGTTAATAAGTTATATATGTATATACAACTAGATGTCCACAAAATTTATTAGGAGGCCAATTTTTGTACCCTCACATTTAATATTTATACTCCCTCATAACGAAACTTTCCGATTATCATGTGATTATGTGAAATTCTTATTTGTGATTGGTTAATAAGTCATATACGTATGTACAACTAAATATCTACAAAATTTATTAACCTGTTTTGTGCAGCGAATAAGAAACTATGCAACTAAGCACTATATACAAAATATTCAATATGGGTGTAAATTATTGAAAAAACATCAATTTTTAAATATATTTTAGAAGTTTAAATTTCGAAGTTTTTTTTTAACATTTGATAGTAAATCAAATGTTATTTATTTTGCTAAATTTTGTAAATAAATACACTTTCTATATGTAACTCTTAAGTGTGCTAGAATACCCATTGTTCTCTTATAATGCGTTTGTTAGCAATAATAGTTAAATTTTCTTCTAGTTTTGCAGTCAGTTTTTTTTCTACAAAAGTAATGTTAGCCAAACCGCCAATTATATCCTGGCCAATTACTAAATATTGCAATTGTGAGTATTAACAATAATATGAAAGAATATTGAGATCTAAAAATATGAGTGGCTTTAAAGAAGGAATTATATCAAAAATTGTAAATATGGCTCTATAGAGTATTAAACTGTAAAATTATTATACTAAGCAAGAAACACAATCAGCTAATATAAATATAACCAAACCCATATATTCTAATACTCTTCATTTGATAATATACTTCATATTTAGGAGCTTTGTAGGCAAAATAACTGTGATCGAAAGCCTGTAACCCATATAAGATGATCAACAATCATGTCTACACTCGATCAATGTATGTAATATGATCGAACCAAAATTGAGTGAAACATGTATAATTGAACGATCAATGCATATAGCCAAATAGGAATAGCCCAAGATCGAAAAGCCAAGGTTTCAGAGTGGTAAGATAATGAAATAAAAGAATCTAAAAATAATCAAAGATAGGAAATAGCAAAAAAAAACTGGTAAAGTTCTAATTTAGAAATTTGAATTAGTTTCTTGAAATGTACAAAAGTAGATACAAAAAACAATGATATAAACTTATCTTTCATGGTGCCAAGTAGCCAAGAATTGGACCTGATAAATAAATAAAAGTGTGTTAGTATTTTAATATTAGTGATAAACAATTTAATATAAGAGAAAAAACTTGTAAATCTAATGGCTCAAGTAGAACCACTAAGAAGTTGCCTCCTTTAGAGAAATCTTAAAAAGATAGTGTGTTCTAAAAATGATTCTTAAAAGAGAATAAGATGTGGCTTCAAATAAATCATAGTTATACACTAAAAATAAATAATCGATTTAATAGCTTCTAATTATAAAAAATTAAAAAATTAGATACTTCGAAACAAAAAAGTAAAATATTCTCATTGCACAGCCCAAGCCCAAGTTAGCAACAAAAGATTTTGATATCTAGACATATTTAAAATATAAGATAATCTCAATTATCAAATATAAATAGTTTGATAAAAGTACCTTTAATAAACTTTCTTTAAAGGTTGTAATAAATTACAACTGTTTTAGTTTGTCTCTTGCAAGTTTTATCCTCATTTAAATAAAAATTAATTAGTTTTTTAACTATTTTATAAATTCGATCGTGCCAATATAGTCCATTTTACCATAGTAAATTATGCTTTCCCGCCCCCTGAAGTGTATAACAGTGCCGATAAACTCTTCCAAGCTGCACAAAGATTTGCAAATTCCCAAGATTATGTGCTAGTTAAAAAAAGAACTTGAAAAGATGACTATGGTAAATTAAAGAATATGTTACTACGATGTGATTGTGGTAATGTTTACCATAGCTCCTCGAAACTTAATGAAGAATCAAACCATAGACAAAGAAGCACTAGGCTTATTGACTATTCTTTTGAGTTGTATACAACTAGATGTGAAAGAAAATAGTATTTAGAGATTCGCCATGCAGACCATAATCATGGTTGCTCAAATAACATGGCAGGGCATCCCATTGTTCGTCAACTTACAGAACAACAGATTGTAACTGTTGCAACTATGACTACTGCTAGTTCAAGACCTCGGGAGATTATATCAACACTTCGTCAGAACAACCCAGAAATGCTGGTTACTAATGTTGATATTTATAATACAAATGCACAGCTTTGTTCAGAAAATCTAGCAGGTTGTACTCCCATTCAGGCTCTAATAGATGAGTTTCAAAATGGCAATTTTTTTTATGAGTATAAATATAATAACACCAGTTCTGTTACTCATCTTTTTTTTTACACAAAGAATCTGTCTCCCTTACTCGTCGCTATCTCACTATAATTTTAATAGATTGTACCTACAAAACAAATATATTTAATATGCTCTTGTTAAATATAGTAGGTATAACCAGTTTTAACACCACCTTCTATTCCTGTTTTATTTTTATAAAAGGTGAAGATGAAGAGGATTATAGATGGGCTCTAACACATATTATGCATTTGTTTAATAGAATACAAAAACCTGGTGTTATCATAACCGACAGAGAACTTGCCCTTATAAATGCTCTTGATACGATTTTTCCTAACTCAAAAAATTTACTTTGTATATAGCATATTAGCAAAAACATCTTGAAAAATTGTAAGCCACAGTTCTCAAAGGAAATGGATAGTGATGAGGGCAAAGAATAGAAAGATTTTCTTGCCGAATGGAATGATATTGTTCAATCAAAAACTGAAAATGAATTTAATATAAAATGGAATAACTTTCGTTCTACTTATATAAGTAAACCAAAAATCATTTCATATCTTGAGGAAATCTGGATACCATTGAAAAAAAGGTTTGTAAAAGCATGGACAAATACATTACTTCACCTAGAAACAACTTCAACTTTCCGAATTGAGGGTGCATATGCAACCTTCAAAGCATATCTGCAAACATCCGTGGGTGACCTTCACCAGGTTTATACTACAATCTCGTTAGCAGTAGCCAACCAAAAAAAAGAGATTGATAATATAACTGAGTCAGAGCGTATTCGCTTCCCAGCTTTTGCTATTAAAAATAGTTTGTATGAAAATATTAGAGGTAAAGTTTCAACCTATGCTTTAAAAAAAATAAATGAGCAATATTGAAGGGTAAAATGCATTACTCCACAAGAACCCCTGCCACCATGTAGTGGATCTTTCTCAAAAACAATGGGGCTGCCTTGTGCCTATATTATACAACACTTCAGAAAGAATCAGAGTTTAATGCTTAATGATGTTCATGAGCATTAGTGGATTTCTGAAAACCTACTAGCTCCTGAAATTGATGAAGATGTTTATTATCGTGAAGACCTATTTCAATCTCTCTTACAAAATTTACAACAAAGGTATTAGGAATGGCCGGCATTTCAACAATCAACAGCATGTGAGTCATTAAAGGATATAATTGATACCCAATTAGTAACTTTGTGCAACCCCAATATAGTCCATACCAAAGGACGTTCTTCTGGTGCTTTTAATCAACAACAGACC